TAAGGCCACCGACCTAGCGTTCTTTCCAAGAACCAGTACATGTGTAGCGGATCGCGATCCGCTACCTCTATATACAGAAGACCTATCAAGGCAAAAGATCACTTCTGTTCAAAAACGAAACTGTATTTGATTGTTTTAGTTCCAGCAGAGTCGCTAATATCTAAAACCCAAGGGTTTTCTGATTGATATAGTAGTACCTAACTAATATACGAAACCTAATTAATATAGTTATATGCGTTACAACTGGCAATCCTGCCATGTGGTGGCTTTTTGTTACGGTGTAGCCACACCACTGTTGTTAGTATAATAACTGTATAATACCCACCTATGTACGGTCGCACAATCTTGTGCGACCCGTCCTTTTTTACAAGGGCACGTGTCACCCCGTTACAAGTCGTGTGAATATGATTACACGGGTGTGAGACGCAATGGTGAATGCGCAAGATCTGCAAACGGAAACACAGATAGACGAGGTCGTCAAGGCAAAACGTATTTTATTGTGGGGGATTATGAACTACTTAATATTAAGATCCTATCAGAAGATGCGGTCTCAGGCTTGGGAAGCTCGTTGCTATTTATAGTTGCATCGGTCCATTCCGAGTAGAGTCATGCCATGGACGGCTAACACTATCGACCTGCCAAGCGGGCAAGGACACATCCAACGTTCTACGTAGGGCTCCTGAAGCCTTGCCATCGCGACGACACGATTTCAAATATGGATGCATCGCAGTTTTATTCGAATGTGGCTTCAGTTTCACGGCTTCGGCACGAGGATCGATTTTTGAGCCCATCAGCGTCGTCGCCTCTGTATCACCCACGGAATGACGGGAATAATCTGGAGCGCCCAAAACAGAGCGAGATTGTTAGCAGCAAGCCCCGTATTATCAGCGGGAGCAGCCGCTGCAGGCGAGAGATCTCGCAGAGCCTGCCTCAATCGATGGATCCAATTTTCGATTGCGTCCCCAGGCGATTTTCCGTGACGCCATACAGAATCACTATCTTCGCAAACAATCTATCGATTATCCTTCACGCGTTGTCGCGTCGTCGACACTCGATCGGCTACCTCGATCAGCAGCTGGCTAAGCAGCGAGCAAAGCTTCTTCACCTTCGTCAAACGCCATTTTAAGGCCGACAAAGGCTGTGGACCAGCCACAGAAGAAGCAGAGGGGACGCATGTTCCGGGCAATTCCTTCACTTCTAGATCGATAAAGAAATCGAAACCAACACGTTGAGAACGTGAAATCGTTTCCGCACCGAGGTCTCTCCGCCCAAGCTTCGTAGAGGATATACTTCACTATATTTACCCGATCCATTTGACCATCTAATCAAAAAAATTAACATGCTAAATCTGGTGCTGAGCACCGTAAACAATGTTCACAATAATCACTGTAAAGCGCTGGATTTTATCCGATATATTTGCTATCGACAAGGCATGATGACAGAACACTTTGTCCATTATCGGTTTTGTACGTATCCTCACCGATCACATTATTGATGAGAACATCTAGATAATCCGTCTTGCTCAGGAGGTTCAAATTCTCTTAATTAAACACGTCTTTTCAGAAGACGCAAATTGAAAGTTAAGTCCCAATTACACTGGCAAGGAACATTATCCCTATTGGTGGCCCAAGCTGTACAAATGGAGGAGCACCTATGTGCGCACGTGTGAGACGTGTCAACGGATGAAACTCTCTCCAAATGCGGCTGCGCCGCTGGCCAGCTTACCGGTACCTACTGGGTGCTGGTAGTCCAAGAGTTTGGACTTTGTGTTCGGCCCGCGAAAAGATTCGGCGGGCAACACGGGTGTCGTGGTATTCGTCGACCGGTTAAGCAAGAAAATCTCATTTGGCGGTGGTGCTAGACATTATCGACGGGATCGGCACAGCAAAGCTGTTCGTGGATTGTGTTTCCGACAACACGGACTTCCAGAGTCGATTGTCTCATATAGAGACCCCCATACCACGGGAAAATTTTAGTCGACTATCTTCAAGGTGCTAGGCACCAAGTTGAAGATGTCGCCAGCGGATCATCCGAAGAGTTTTCTCTGAACTATGCAGTGCATTTGTCTACCGGCTACACGACGTTCTACGTGAACGGGCTGGTTCACCCTCGGGTCTCGCTGACGCCGCCATCCCATAGCTCAGGGCTTGGTGGGAGAGGAATAGCCGAACGGCTAGCTGATATCAGCCTCCTCACCATCCGCGGAGAATTTGATCAATTCTTGTCTACCAGACTGAGTATCCTACGACACGTTCGCGATGCGATGGCTGAAAGCCAAGACCTGCGGAAAGAATATGCAGTTGCAAAAGGAAGAGGCAAAGTGAAAAGCTTTGAGGTCGGGGCCATTGTCTTATTAAATTTCGATAACCTTCCTACACATGCAGCCTCTGCTATCTTCCCGACGAAGCTTCGCTTAAGGTTTATCGGACAGTTTAAGGTTGTGGCCACGCGGGGCCTAGCGTATACGCTGAACCTTCTACCCGGTGTTTTACGTGAGTTTGTTCAAGCCGTATCGGGATCCGGCGCATATGCGGAAGCGTTGGCGCCCGAGCGGATCCGACGGGCCCTCAGCCACCCAGAAACTGAAGCAGCAACTGGTTTTGAGCACGGAGTGCAACAACCTCCATATCCAATGGAGCCAAGCGCCCCACCGTTGCCTGCAGCGACGCATTCGCCTGCTCCACGGCTTGGAGTCGCTCCGACAGGCGCGGTAGTCCACAAGGTGATGCAGCCGACGCACGACGCGCTCCAAATCATCAAGAGCGTCCGCACAGCGATATGCTACTTCAGTATGACGCTCAGCGGAGCTCCGATCACGAAGGATATCATCCTCAAGGGCTCGAAGAGCATCGCGAGACACCGGACGGTGGTCCACCCGGTCGTCACCACCCTCCACCGACTCTTCTCGATGAGATCGGTGACGTCCACTATCACATGGAACGTTCTGTGAGACGACGTCATCACCACGGTCAGACCCAATATCTGGTCAAGTGGCGGGGATATCCCGACTCCAAAAACTCGTGGGAGTTTGGGACGCCACTTCAGCAAGATTGCCCAGACGACTTGGACGCTTTTGATCAGAAAGATCAGGACGCCCCGCGCTTCCCGGCAGTAGCCAGGGAATTATAAGGGCCATGAGCTGAGCTCAAGCGGTGGCCCTGACCTCTTGCGGTCGCAGACACAAAGCTCGCGGGAGCGTTAGGGGTTGACCCATACGTCGCAGGGC